ATGATCCCCATTTGTGACCTTCAGACAAGCAAAGTCTGGTGGGGAGGCTGGATTCACTTAACAACAGGTGACTAACTTATCAGCTGCAGCGATTCACTTAATGACCGTGGCAGGAAACGTCATAAAATGGGAACATGATCCCCATTTGTGACCTTCAGACAAGCAAAGTCTGGTGGGGAGGCTGGATTCACTTAACAACAGGTGACTAATTTATCAGCTACAGTGATTCACTTAACGACGGGGGCAGGAAAGGTAGAATGGGCTCAAAACTCACTTAACAAACGTCTCACTTAGCAACAGAAATTTGGGGCTCCGTTGTGGTTGTAAATTGAGGACTACCTGTAGTTATTATCGGTGGTCCTCAACCCCAACTGGAAACAGAATTTCCGTTGCTAAGCGAGGCCCTGACCTCTGGGACGCTGCCACCATCGTAAACACACACCATTCCAAAAGCACTTGAATTTTGATCACGTGACTGAGCTGATGCTACAGTGGTCGTAAGTGCGAGGACCAACTGCGAATTGCTCCCCCCCCCCCCCCCCCCCCCCGGTGTCCATTGTAACTTCGAACAAACAGTTGTGAGCCGAGGACTAAATAGCCTTTTCTGGGGTATGAACTGTTCCTCCATAAGGCGGATGCCGAAGATTAATTATTACTAGGTTTTTTTTGGCAGGCAGGAGTTGGAGCGGGTGTGACTTCTTCCGCACACACACAAACCTCCTGAATACTTTGATCAACACAACCTGTGTTTTTCCTCCTCCTTTCCACACACCCCCCCCAAAAAAAGCACATGTACTAAAATACTGTAGGAAGGAGGAAAATTTGGGTGTGAAATTCTGTCCCAGATGGGAGGAAAACTTGTCTCAGCTCTCCTGTGTCTGTCTTCTCCCCCCCCCCCCAAATCTCTTTTTAGGAACCAGGTGATGAGAAAGAAGCTGATTTTGTTTTTCAAGAGACGGAATCATGCCAGGAAACAAAGGGTAGGGGTGTGTTTTCTTTCTTTCTTTCTTTCTTTCTTTCTTTCTTTCTTTCTTTCTTTCTTTCTTTCTTTCTTTCTTTCTTTCNTTTTCAGGGCATTTTTCTAGGCTGTTTTTGGAAAACGGCCTGAAAAATGACCCAGAAATAACCCAAATAACAGCCTGGTTTTTGGCTGTTTTTCGAGGCATTTTCTGGGCTGGTTTTGGGACGTTTTCAGTCCTCCAATGCCTGCAAAGACCGTCTGGCTGGTGCACACATGTTTCCAGAGTGCCGGAAACTAGAAGAGCAGGTGCCGAAGTCACGTGTGCCCGCAGAGAGAGCTATGTATGCCACCTCTGGAATACGTGCCATAGGTTCCCCAAACACGGTTCTAGTCCCTGATGTTCTCACAGTGGGAAAGGCTGGCTTTTAACAGTGCTCCTTTTTGGAATGTGTTCACGTGTATTGGGCCCAGATTAGCCTCAGTTGAGCGAGGAGGAATTATTTCCATCCTTGGCTGTGCGTCTGGGTGCATTCTTGGCTTTGTTATACGGGTAGTCCTCAGCTTACGACCCACAAATGAGCTCCAGATTTCTGTTGCTGAGCGAGACGTTTGTTAAGGGAGTTTTGCCCCATTTTATAACCTTTCCTGCCACTGTCGTTAAGCGAATCGCCGCAGCTGTTAGATTAATGACACGGCTGTGAATCTGGCTTCTCCCCGCCCCCCTCACTTGGCTTGTCAGAAGGTCACACAAGGGGATCATGTGACCCCGCAACCGTCATAAATACGAGTCAGTTGCCAAGCGTCTGAATTTTGATCACCGGGATACAGCAACAGTTGTGTCAGGGTTGCAAATAGTACAGTAAAATAAAATAGTAAAAGTAAAGTAAAGTGAAATGAAACAAAGGATCTTATTTCCTTTTTACACACAAAATATCGCTTGGGCCTTATTATGAGGGGAGGGTTTATTGTTTCGGGGTCGCCGGGCGGCTGCTCCCTTCCGAGCGGGCTCCCAAAGAGCCGGGCACAACCTCAGGGGCGAACGGCCGTGTTGCGCTCTCGTAGCAGCGCAACACAGCAGCCATGAAGCGACCACGCTCACGAGCAGCCACCCGGCAAACCCCCTTTCCACCCAGGGACAGCGCCATTCACTGACCTAGCGGTATCCCGAAGGCGCCAAGCAACGCGATCAGCTTTGCCTCCCCCCAGGTTCCCGCGCCTTGGTACCTTTGGGATACTGCTAGGTTGGTGAGTGGCGCTCTGACTGGCCGGAGGTGAGGGGTTGTCCAGGGGGCTTATATGCAGGGGGGGGGACTTATATTTTTGCCCACCAGAAAAATGTGGCATGGCCTTATTATCAGGACATGGCGTATTTTCGGGGAAACATGGTAGTAGTAGTAGTAGTAGTAGTAGTAGTAGTAGTAGTAGTAGTAGTAGTAGTAGAAGATAATAATAATAATACTACCACCACCACCTAAGGTCCTGGCTATATTTATATAACTATATTTAGTTATATTATCTATCTATCTATCTATCTATCTATCTATCTATCTATCTATCATCTATCATCTATCATCTATCTATCTCTAGCTCTCTGTGTATCTATCCATCCATCCATCCATCCATCCATCCATCCATCCATCCATCCATCCATCCATCCATCC